AATGTCTGGCTTGTCCATTGTTTATTAATATTTGAATTCAGAATATATATTATATAAATTTCATTAAAACTACTGTAAAATCACACCAGAAACATTTTCTAGATTGTATAAAGGTATTTCAAACATGATGGAAATGAGGAAAACATGAAGGGTCATTGTATCAGCTAGAAAATTTTGAATTCAAATACACATAGAGATACAAAGAATTTAAAGATTAATATTCAGCTGAAACCAGAGGAGTTTTTTGTTGAGACTAATGAACAGAATAGAAAAGGTCTCCAGAAGATTGTTTTTGTACATAGTATCTTCAGTGAGATTATTAGATGCACAAAGATGGAACAACTGTGAAATACAATAAAGGAATGAAAATGACAGAATTTGCAGAGATGGCCAAATTGACTTGCCTGATTAAGAAAAAGACAACTACGTTTATCAGCGATTTTACAGAGTTTTTGCTGAAAACAGAAAAAATATACAGTAGTTTTGATATCAGAATATAGAAAGGAACCATGATATCACTATAGAGACAGTTGGAATAAAATATAAATGCATTTATAACTGGTGTAAAGAAAATCAGAAACTGCTCCTTTATATCTTTTTTCTTTTCTTTTTCTTGTGTATTTACTCACTTATCAGTTTTCTTTACTTTTGTAATCTTTAAATTTTTATTGTTTTTGCTCTCTAAAAAATCTCTTCAATAAAAATTAATTTTGAAATAGTAGTAAACTTTTTCCTACTTCAGACTCATTATGTGAAGACTTAGCTCCCTGGAAAAGGCTCTAATTCTAAGAAAGGTGGAAGGAAAGGAAAAAAAAACAGCAGCAAGGTGGATGGACTCAGTAGCAAGAGCGACGAGTACGATGAAAGGCCGAAAAGACCACCTTAAGCATAGATTATTATGGAGAAAAATTTGCTATGTGATCGCTAGAAGTCAAGAATGACTTGATGGCACATAATCAATTTTAAAAAAGGTTTTCAGCAGCTTCCATAATATATCCATGCTCCTATCCCTTTGTGTTTATGCTCAACCACAAAGGAGTTGGGCATGAAGGGATTGTTGGGAGCTGTGAAGCACAAGGTCTGAGTCAAATAAAGTGGGACACTAGCAGTTAAAATGTATTACATATAGATGTGTCATTTAAAACCATCCTAGCCATCTATTTAAAAAATCTATATACACAGTAAGCTATTTTCACACATTAGTACAATGAAATAATATGATATGGATTTAGACAGTGCACAAAATATCTGATTTATCACTTCATGTATTACAATTTGATTGCCAAAGGTTATCTATAAAAAGAGCAACTGCCTAAATTGCAAACTTGTAATAGCAATCTCCAGCTATAAAAAAACTAGGACATTACTTTCATTGAATCAACACATTATGTCAAACTTGCTACATTATTATTAAGTTACATTCCTCTGTAGAAACAAGTATCAAAACAATTGTAGCAGTAATTAGTCTGGGATTTTAAAATACACAATACATCCAAGGGTGAAAGGCACTCCATTGTTTCTAATTTCTATTTAATTGAAACATTAAC